TCAGTCGTGTAATAAATCTCTTATTAACCAAGCTTGCTCGGGACCGTACTGGAAGAATATCGGCCCTCGGTCTTTTTTGTACGGACCTCGCTGCGCTCGGTCCGTACTGTCAAGACCTCGGGCCGATATTCTACCAGTACGGCCCTCGCGCTTAGTTAATAAGATATATATATTTTTCTGATGGTGCACACTTAACGTGAGGAGAATTACAGAATTTTGGACAATTTGTAAAAAAGTAAATTTGTAGTAATATTAGAATTCGTATAATTACACTAACACCTCAACTTCGCTGAAGTGACGTAGAGTATGCCTCGAGTAGATAATATGGTTTTATCAATTGAGTTGATAACGTTAATTGGCCTCCGTAAAGAGTTTCTGACAAAGAGTGACTCCCTAATATCAGTATGCTATTCCATACTTTTACCTATATATCTCCTATGGTACTGGCGAGGAAAGTGTGTTTGGAAATTACGGGCTTCTTCGGGTGGGCGACCATTTCCTATATTCTCATGCCCATAATGTTCAATTCAACCGCGGTATTTCATGATGTAAAAAGAGAAAGAAAACTTACTCAATCGCAAAAAGTGATAATCTCATTCGTGTTTCAAGCGACAGTCATCTCTCCGTGCTTTTTGCCTCTACAGGTCTCCACACTCAAAGATTTCTCTTAGAAACGCTAATTCCGTTCTAAACGGCTAAAGAAAGTCCAAACTGACGACTTAACAAACAATTGCGATTTTACGCTCTTATATTACTATGAAAAATCTGATTTGTTAAGAGCGTTCAATTTGAATATACAAAAGCGTGAAAAGTTGACATGATAAATGCAATATACCCCTTGCACTTTTCATGTCGAGTTTGAAGTCTGCCTAGTTTCCAAGCCCCTCGTCCGTGTAGTATTCTCAAACTTTTGCAAACTACTCAGGGATAAGTACCTTGTTTTGCAGATTGTTTAATATTGTACAATATATATATATATATATATATATTGTTTATTGTACAATAATTTACAATTATTGAATTCGGTTTTCGCATGATATCGTGAATTATCAAACCTAGTGCCTGTGTTACCTGTTTCAGCCTTCGGTTTCCACAGATAACTCAGACCTCGGTTTCGATAATTCATGATATCATGCTCAACCTCATCCAATAACTGCTTATGGACCCAGCAGATATCTTGTAAACAAAATGAGCCTTCAAGTTTTCGTTCTTTGTTCCCTTTTCGTAACGTAATTAACCGACATAGCTACTTCATTGCGTGAGAGAATTTGGCTTCTAGTGGCTCATTAAGCAAGGTTAAATGTTAATTGGTGTTTTTCGCATCAATTCGATACATGGTCTATAATTCTCAAAGCAGGTGTTTCCTGTGTTACTAGAGAACACACGATCATTTTCCTATAAATTTCTCATACGATAGGTCAAACAAATGTTTGCTGTATCCACTAAAAATACCTTTTCATAACCTGAAGCAGTTCATCCTCTCATACATAAAATTTCTCTCATTCGACTTCAGCGGAAAGGATTGCCTAAGGTCATTTACGAAGTGAACATGCAAGGTCATTTTTTCATTTATCCAAAAAAACTATCTAGTTAAAAACGTGCCTCAGTTGTTTATAGTATGTAACACACAGCATAAATTCATTTTTCGCACTTCGTTAAAGTGACATTGAAATGAATTGGAACAATGTTGGCTGCAATTTAGTTTGCAATAAAAATAGCCAGCCTATCCGGTTAGGAGGCGATCATTAATTTTCCCCAAATCTTAAAAATAACTTCCTCAGAGCTGCATGAGTTTACATTTAAAAGTTAAAGTTCATCAAACTCCTGCCAGTATAGTCACACGCTCGAAGCTCAGTTACAAGTGGCTAGTTCAACCTCTTTATATTTGAGGTAGGTTTAAAAATCTTCTCATTATTTTCTGCATTTAGAAATAATTACGTAATGAGAGCAGAAACTGTTGGAACGAGCCATAATGGCGCAAATTTTCTGATTATTCAAAACCTGATCTTATGCAAACTATTAACACGAGACTTTGTACGAAGCTCACCCAGTGTCGATACGTATGCGTAGTGGGTCTTTTTACTAAGATTAGAAGGGTCATGGCGTAATTCAGTTTAAGTGTCCAATCTATTTAACCGTAAATTGAACGTCACCTTTCAGTTGCAAGGACATAAGGATAAGCTCGTTTGCATACATGCAAAGACAAAATTCGGGCAAAATCATCCCAATATGTGACTTCGACGTTCATCAGTCGGTACCAGCGTCTCAGCAATAGCTGAAGAAAAGAGTTTTGCTTTATCGAAGCCTGAATTGTTTGTTTGTTTGTTTTTATTTTAATATCTATTTATTTATTTATTTATTTATTTTTTTTTTTGCGCAATGACCCTACTTGCGATCAACCCGTCACTTATAGCAGCTTACTATTCTTTTTTTAACTCCAAAATGGGTTAAGAGAACTCCCTAAAACCTTTCCTTTCCTTTTCTCACAAGTTGGCTACTTGTGTTTACTGAAGAATGTAGCCAAGACCATTTTGAGTGCATAACTTGGTCGAAGATGCTGTCTCCCGCTCGACTCTCTCGGTATGAACAACATGTTCTTTCTTCGTCCTCACGATAAACAAAGTCTTTCATTCTTATGTAATTTGACATAATTGGTGCACCCAACATTGCACTACTCGGTCAAAGAGCTACAGACAACGTATTTTACTCTCGACTTAGGGTAATCGGCCTGTCTCTCTCACCAATAACACCGCTGATGTGCGCAAATTAAAATACCAAAATGCTGCGATACTTGGAATGTTTGCAATGATAGCAAGCACTTCAACGCCCAGAAAATGAGTTGTTCCAAAAGAATGTATGATTGAAACACATTACAGTCTTGCACAGTAATAACAGCTGTAAGACGTCTCTGTAGATCTTTATACGATTATACAACATAGCCAATTAACTAGCTTTCGAACATGCGGCGTGTTTGACGTTTATTGCATTTATGTAGCAGATAAATCTCTGCAACAACAAGAAAATATCTTGATTCTACTGGACTATCAGTTCAACTAGAGTCTTTTGCTGGATTTGCTGGTCAATGAAATCAGTTTACACGTCGTGCTCGCCGACGAAACAATTCACATGCAGTAACTGAGAGTTCATTAAATAAATGGTATGTACTTCTAATTGGATTAATTTTAAAATTCCAAAGGTTAACAGGGAGGTATGTTTCGTTGGACCCCTTGATGTAATGAGCCCCGAAAGCAAATTGCGTACATGATAAAATGTACAGTCTAAGTGCGAGCGACGTGAGGGACACACCTTGAAAAGTACTCGCAGCTTCCGTTTCAAAACTTTTGGGTAGTCAAACCGGTTTGGTCAGTTTCCGTGAGAAATGTAGCTCGTAAATTAGTTATTTTGGCGCGTGACCATTGCGGATTAGTGCACAAAAATGTAGCTTTTACTTTCATTAAATTTTTGTCATTTAAGGATACTTCCTATTTTTTGCTTTTGTTTTTTATTTTTGTTTTAGGAACGACTGTTCCCACTTTCCCGAGGGGAACTACGCCACCCATAAACGTGCAGTAATACGCGCCCCTGTGCAAAGTTTGTTCGCTGAGCAATCATCAAACACTTAACTTGATTGGCTGGTTTCCATGAGAAATCCAATATTCACTTGTTTGCACTTTTCATACGTGCTATTGTCCGGCGAAATGTAAACGTATTTGAAGTCGTATCGACAGTCTGTGAAAAAAGAGTCATTCAATTTTGATAGAGTATAGAAACGTCGATATAGTATTCCAATAGTACCAGGTGCGTTTCCTATTGTTTTGATTAAGTATATTTGTTTACTTTTCTTTCTTGCGCTTATAAATATAGTAAAAAAACGATTAATGTCTCGTTTGTAACTCATTTACAGTCGTTAACGTACGTTTATGTTTTATTTTTGCGTTTTGATGCGGTTTGACCACAAAGACAGCATGAGACGTAAAAGAACGTGTTCAGCAAATCCTTCAAGCATCACGAATGTTCACGCCGTTGTGCTTGGATTGGATGGCGTCGGGAAATCAGGTTTGTCAGATAACTTATAGCCTTGAGTATGCAGTTAAATCCCACGATGGCCCTCTTTGCCAAGGTGTTTGGAAAGGTTCCTCAGGAAACCTTTCGAGGAAACCTAACGAGGTGTTTGGGACTAGCATTTCATCTCAGCATCTCATCCAACGGGAACAGGGACAAGCTCCCCCCGATAAAGGACCGCTAGGGATCGGAAACTCACCCATGAAAACACCTTAAATCAAACTTTCCAGCAACGTCGCCCATCAAAAGGCTTGGGCTTTTGGACCTCTGATAGAATGTGTTCCATAGGCAATGGAACACAGCTAAATGCCACGAATTACTTAGTGCTTCTAACCCATAAAAGTTAGATTTCAAGAAGCTATTTACCGAGTATAATAAGTGTATTTATTTTAGTGGATGATAATACGTCTTTAACTACTTGAAAGGGTGTTTAACGGTTTTCATCAAAAGCAGGAAAACTGATAAATTATACATATCAGTTACAAGAGCTTATCAATTATCTCTGTCGTATAGTGATTTCACAATCAATTATGATCATCAATCCAAGAACTTGCTCTCAGTAAAAAAGAAGAAAGGGAATTATCAGGCCAAAATGATCCATTTTCAGAAGGTTCCCAAAATATCTCAGCATATGCAAACATATGTTTTTGTTACAATTTCTTAGTTATCAGTCAGGGATCGGTGTGGGCATCATAAAAATATCATCGGTAATTGAAATTGTTTCCAAATGCGATCAAATCAAGTGGCTTTCCTATATTCTTGAGATTAAGATCGCGGCCTTTTTCTAAAAGCTATGCATGTTGACGTTTTTTCAAAAACCCGCAACAGCTGTTCACTTGCGATAAAAGTTCACCCAAAGATAGCGACGAAAAGGAAAGACCGCGATTAGCCAATACAGCGGCCAAAAAAAGGACCGCGATACATTAGCCAAAACAGCGGCTGTTGTCTTGGCTACCAGGCGCACCTCTTCAAGCGCACCTTTGAGTTGTAATCGCTGTTTCAATAAATCATATTCACAGATTTTCACACAGCACCTAGCTGAGAGGTTTTGTTCCTATTGAAACATGGAAAAAGAAAGACAAGATCTGTAGCGCATCTGTGAGGCAGACACACGCCCGGACTGAAATTTCTTTCGATCAGCATCTTCAGATAAAACACTTGACTATCAGACATTCAGACGCCGCTAAAGAAACTGAGTAAATTCGCTCTAATTTCAAGGTATTCATTCAGACGAATAATTAACAACGACCCATGAGTGAGTAACAACAGTCCCACATGAACCAAGGAAACAAAACGTGTGCATATATATAACCTTTTTGCTCCCAGTTTAGTGCTTCGCGGAAGAACGGAAAGGAACAAACTGAGATCACAATTGACATGCACGTTTAGGGGGGTACCGATCGTTTTCAAAATACTGATAAGAATGAGATGAGTTCAACAAGCTACGTCTTTGTCTCAAGAACTTCTGGCACATGGTAGTTCGAAAATTAATTACATGACACAACTTATCAAAATGAAAAACAAATACTTCCGGTACCTGAATACACACTGCTGTTGAAACGTATCTTACATACGAAATAGTTGAAATACAATGAAATATATGAAGTTCATATATTTTGTACTGCGGTATTAGATACATATATGCACGATCCTCGCAGTAGATAGTGCTATTTAAGCAATAGCGAAAATCAGACCTGAAAAAAATCAGGCCTGTACGGGATTCGAACCACTGACCTCTGCGATACTAGTGCAGCGCTCTACCAATTGAGCTAACAAGCCAACTGGGAGCAGGCCGTTAAGTTGATTCGTAATAAACCCGTGAAAGTGATAAAT